TTCAAAGACTGCAGCGGTGCTTTGTGGGAGCAGGAAGCTTTGGATATCTCTCTATTTACCGTCTTTTAAACATATGGCAGAGGACTTTATTAAAGTTCAGTGATTTCCCAGACGTCCTGCGGTTATCTGGACAAACAATCCTTTGTATGGATTACACCACCTAATTTAAAAAAACACAACTCAGATTGCTATTGTTGTCATCAGGTCTGCTGTACTCGGTCCTTATCTGTAAAATATGTTTTTGTTGCATTTGAACAGCGGGTTTCAGAGAAAACAGCATTTAAAAAATAAATAAGTTGCACCTCTGTTCCTTTTTCAAAAGGGCACACGTTCACAGGGGTACATCAAACATGTGACCTGCAGCCAGTGTTCATCACACTGAGGGCCTCTCTTTCACCAGCTGACAAGATGAGGCTGGCGGGCCCCTTCTCTGATCCTTTTGGGCAGCATTGGGACGACTCATTGAGTCAACAGGCGCTCTTTCAGGCTGTGTCAGGTCTATGGTCTTGGCCTGCAAGTCTGAGAACCGAGTTTGACTTGGACAGGAACATCAATTATCTGTTACAAGGTCCCATGTCATGCGTTTTCCGGTTATTACCGCGAAGTCCCCCTTGTGTGTTTTGAAGGGTTTTATATGCATGTAAACGGCTTGCAAAGTCACATCCCTCACATACACCTAGTAGCGAAGTAAACTCTACCAAGAAAAGAGCTGTCTACTGTGCCCCCAGAACACCTCGTTGGTAGATTTCTCTTTTTCCTATTGTTTTCTTCCTGGATACAGTGACGTGCCTATACCCAAATGGACCCATTGGTCCAAATGGACCAATTCGTGGAGCCATTACATTACTTCCGCGGAGCGGCACACACTCAATCATTTCTCAGCTGCAGCTCGGCCGATTTCTCCTCCCTGAGACGGCGGGACGCGGCGAGGCTGTGAGTCGGTGTGTGAGCACACACACAAACTCCCAGACAGGCTGCGGGTGTGGGTTCGGGCTGGTTTCGGGCTGAGTTTTGCTGTGTCTCACTGTCTTGCAGACGGCCACTGGGCTCATAGGGAGGGGGGCAGGAGCTCCAACAAGCTGTGTAGGACAAGCTCTGTAGGACAGAGAGTGAATACACATACTATACAGAGATGCTGTATGAGAAACCAATGTGATTTTGGAAAATTGCACAATATAAATCTATTCCAGTATACTTCAACAATAGAATTATGATCAGTAGAAATGGCCATGACATGGGACCCTTAATGTATTTTTTCATCTTTATATTCCACAGACTTTACTCATAACAGGTCATTCTCCTGAGTACTACTCATCCTGAGGAACATAGTGTTAGAATTAGGGGTAATTTCCTCCTACTTGTCTTATGGGATGTTTTTAAATGGTCTTTGAGACTGTGTTACAAACTCGGGGCATATGAATATAAATATAAAGGTTTATTTATACCTGGCAGTTTGATTTCAGAGAAAACGTAATATTTGTTGCCAAATGTTCCAATGTGTTCAGAGCTTGACCCACACTATGGACAAAAATGAGCATATCTTGGTTCATGCTGCTTCTGTCTTTTTCTTTATTACTTACTATATAGGTGACTCACTACCCCAACATTAAAGCAATGCTAATGAGGTAAGTTCAAGTTTGAAAATGAAGTAAAGGGTGTGAACAAATTAGAGTTAAAGGACACATTAACGTTTAGTTAAATACTTACCAAGAAGAATATCTGTTTCTGAACCTATTGTATATCTAAAACTACATAATGTGATTGGCTAATAACTAATACATTATTTACCTGTGTATTAATGTGTATTTGCTGTACCAAACCAGAGTGTTCATTTCCCCTAAAGGATTACATTAACATCCAGGAGTGTGTGTGCTGTCTTCTTTTCCGGTTCTCCAATCAGAATGTAATCTACTTGTTTGCTGTTTGACAAAATGGAGAAAAGCAGGATACAAAAGAACAAAGGCCAATAGAGGTAAATACATCTTTCTTTTAAAGGTCATAACATGTAGCCTACTACTATGACCTTACAGTTCACTTGATTCACAGATGTTAGTCTAACGAAAGTGAGTGCAAATAAAGGCTAAATGGGTGGGTGGTCTTTCTGTGTTTCTCATCAAAAAGAGAGAGTCATACAACTAGACGTCTTCTCCATTGTCTGCCAAAAATAATTCAGCTGGAGTCACACCAAGCCACCAGTAATGTGTTTTCCTGCACTGGAGAGCAGAGTAGACCAGAGGGCATCAGATGAACCAGAAATGACAAATCAATGATATCCTGCCCAAGACAAATGTAGCATTGGCAAATGTATGCCTGGCGTGTGTGTGTGCCAAATGGATGGGAAAGTGGTAGCTCAATGCACCATTTGTTGCTTATTTTCCAGGTCGGATCCACCCATGCAATTTCTGTCATGGGGTTTCCTCCTAAAACATAATCACCAGAAAGTATAGTTAACTTCATTGTAGTGATACTGATGCATTTTTCTGAGAACAACTTCAGCATGGTTTTCTTTCACATGTTTTCTAACAAATGATCCCAACGAAGAAAAGTATCATCATGACTGCCGACATGGAACAAACCTATTGGTCCAATTAAAATGTTCCCCAGTTCAGTGGAGGTATTGTTGTCAGAAGAACTGCAAAATATTGTTTACAAGAAATCTTTAATAAAAGACAAGTGTTACACCCTTGTAGAGAAAATTGACACGGTCACATTACACACACGTCAAACACAGTGTTCAAGCAAATCACACGCACGCACGCACACACGCACGCACCCACACCCACACACACACACACACACACACACACACACACACACACACACACACACACACACACACACACACACACACACTGCAACTACTACTGATTATCTTCCTTATCCAACTATACCTAATGTATGTTTTTTGGCCATTGGTACAGTACACTTTTGCACATAAAGGGAATGCTCTAATGCATACAACATGACACAGGCTGTCCCAGTGTGTAGCAATGTTCCACTGAGAGGGAAGACAGTCAATACAATTCCCTCATGGAACCAGAGCAGCGGGATGTTACAGCTCGCTTCATGGAAATGGATGAAGAAGAGACAGGAAGACGAGAGCAAAGAAGGGAAGAGGAAGTGTGCGGTCATGGGTGAAAGGCAAAAGAAGGAGGCAGGAGACACCGGAAAGAGAAGGAGGCAGGAGAAGAAAGAGCGAGAGGTGAAAGATGTCGTGTGTGAGGTTAAAGCGTTCCTTCGTCGAGCAGTTTGTTGATGCCGTTGCAGATCTTCCTCAGGGAGAGTCTGTACTCCTCTCTGTCCCCGTACAGCTCGGCCAGGTACTCCCCGTGGGCAAAATGGTTGAAAACGTGATCGATGCGTGCATGTGAGCGAGCCGTCAGGTGCTGCTCCACCAGGGTGTGTAGCAGGTCCCTGCACTCCAACAAAAGCTCTGACAGAATATTCCTGTCAAAGGTGTACTCCACCTCGTAGAACGACACCGCCGTCATGGCCGCCTGGTTCATCTTCTTCTTGAAGCGATCCACTGTGTCCAGCTCGTCGGGGCTGAACTGGTGGTTGCGGTACAAGATGCCGATCTTCAGGGCGATTTTGATGACGTCCTTGATTATCTTGTGGGCCTCCTTCTTGCTCTTGGTGAACTCCCGGCTGGTCTTGTAGAGCTCGTCCAAGATCTCGCTGCTGGTGTCATCTGTCAGCATGTTGGCCACCACCATGGTCGCCATCTTGCTCAGGATCTTCTTCTGGGCCTGCAGGGCCAGGGAGCGAGAGTTGAAGCTCTCCGGTCCTGAGGGGAGAGAAAAGAGACAGGAGGGTTGGGATAAGTATTACAGGTCAGAAATCTTCACTCCAACATTACCTACTTAAAGGAACAAGGGACAACAAATTAAATAATAATGATCCTGCTGAGGTAGCTTGACATTCAGAGATACTTAGAAGCAATATCAATAGACTGCTTTGGCCACTTGGGGGCAGAAGAACTAGCCGGAAACACAACAGGGACCTTATATTACCTCAAGTTGACATGGAAAGTTTGTTCACAGACAGTTGCCTATACATAGATCATGCAAACATTAAACAACCACTTAGTTTGAAATCTTGTCCTGTTACACCGAGGAACAACCTTTGGGTCTGAGAGCTAATAGTGAAGTGCCTGCATTCTCTCCAATACATCATGGATCAACACAACTGCTAGCAAAAGTTAGTCAGATTGTATTGAAGTGTAAGAAACAAACTGTAGATGTTGTCTATTGCAATCCAAAGTAGTTTTGGCTTTCCTGAAAGAACATTTGTAATTCTTGTTCTTTTCAATTGACATTAAGTGAAATGACCCACAATGTGCTTGGTTTTTTAATGATATTAAAAGGATAAACTCAGGTATTTCTTATAAATACAGCAGACTGAACATTAGAGGAAAAATAGAGCACAGTTCACCGGTATACATGTTATTATTGCAGTATTTAACCACTGCCCTCAATTCTAAGTGTGTTTACATGTAGCAGCTGACTTCCATCTGGCAAACAGGCTTTTGTATCTGTGTTGACCCATTGTCATACAAATATGGGTTCTTCCTTTCTCCTGCTTTTACTGCGATTTCTTTGACCTTACATAAAGAACACTGTGTGCTGAAAAACCCTAATGTACTTATTTCTTTGTTATTCAGAGGACAAGTTTTTCCTGGCTTAGTTACTAAACAAGTCGTGCAGCAGTATTTAAAGTGATCTCAGTAAAAAGAAAGGCACAGCACTGGTGCAAACTGCTCTTGGGTGATGAGTTTTTTTGGCATGAACAAAGGCTCATCCTCCTTCTGTTGTAAATCCAAACATGAATGTACAGAAACAGATTCTGACTTTTGTTATTTTAAAGATGATGAACTCCACGTTTTTAAAAGTTACAGAAATAACTTAATAGTGAACACAGTCTGAACAAGTGAGAGCTGAAGAGTAGATGAAACGTTGTACAGCCACATTCAACACAGGGCGGCGTCCTTCCTGGAGCTGCCTGTGGTTTGGGTGGCTGACTATGGGAGGAATGATTATCTGCTCTGGATAACAGCTGCACACCGATAAGCGCTTTCCTGTCTCGCTTCAGACAGTCAGTTTTATGCAGCGTCCCACTGAAGTCGCAATATCATAGAGGGGAACATCAAAGACTACTTGTGTCATTATAGAACAATCCAGCAGCTTAGCATGTGTCTTTGTAAATGTGAGGAGTGGGAGGACGGAAGGGGATTTATTCAGGAGCCACCCAGCTAAAAATTACACACCAGATAACTCCTTTTGCGATTAAAGTCCAGGAAAGAGGCCTCAGTTTTTCCTGCCGTTCCCTGGGCAAATAGTCAGCCTCTTCCTCCTCCACATCACATGTATAGAGACAGACAAGGCCAGTGGGCTCAGCAGATGAGCCCAAGTTCAAAGACAGCTGCTCAGTTGTCAGTATCATTTTGATAAAAACAGACAGCTATATGACCATGCAGAATTCACTCCATCACCATAGCATCATCTGCTTGTGTGTCTATAAAATAGAAGGTTTAAAGCTGCACTACAATTGGGACAAATCCGATCCATGGCATTTCATGTGAATACACACAAGTGACATTTCATGTTTCAGTCTGAAGCCAAATGACATTTCATGCACATATAATTAGCCCACTCTGACATTTTCAATTTATATTACAAAGTGCTTTGTCTAGAGTCATTTCCCAATGCATAACATCTGATGTACTGCTAATTTGTGCAGCTTCATGAGTGGGATGATACCTGTATTTGAGAAAAATTCAAATTGCTCTGTAAGACGATGTCAAACAAGTTTTTTCAAAGCCTTCATTATGTGTAAAACAAACAAACTGAAAGGGAATAGACTCCTGTTTGTGCCATAGTTCTTGCTTTTCCTGATTTGTTTTACATTTTTTAATGTCCACTTTGTGGGGCCATAATACAGTTAAATCATGAAACTGGCACATACATACTGTACGTAAAACGTTTTTTAAAAATAACATATGAACTTAAAATGGTCAAATCTTTCACTTCGGAACAAAGTACATGTGATTTTCTGACTACCTGGCCTAGAAAGTCAGATATTCTCTGCTAGGAGAAAAATCTGTCCCTAAGCTTCTACATGCTTCACTTTCTTAACTAGCTAGTTGTCTGCCTTTTGAATCTTAGGCGAGTAGATAAAGTTGGGTCTGCTCTTCCCTTAAAGCTGCCTGATGGAAACAAGGTTGATGAGAATTGTGAGACGGAACCAAAATGAATGAGTGGAGTCCCTCAAAACCAAAAAATATGCAAAACTCTTCGGTGAATGACTGAATGAATCAACAAACACATGCAACATTCATTACAGGACAGTTGATGAGTTCCTGTTGTTTATTATTTGTTGTGCAGGAGGATGTAATATACTGTGAATAGAAAACTTACAGCACTAAGAATAGTCTTTAATAAATCTATATACATCCTCGACTGTGCAGGTAACATCAGACTTGGAGATCGTTAGGGATTAATTTTGTCTTACTTCTAGATATTTAACCTTTCTGCCTGTTGACGTTTATCACCAACCCTGAGTCTGTTATCTCCCGTAAGGAATGTGCTAATGCAGTCGTATGGTGTTAATCTCAGTTTTATGACCGGTCTACTCTCGTTCAGAGCCTAAGAGTATCTCCAGATGTTGGCGATATCTCCAGTGTTCCCATGTTTACGCACCATCCCCCAATATGTGGATTAACTCTCTGTAAACTAGTTCAAAGGTCTATCGAGAGAGAGGCTGGTCAGATTTGACATGGCAACCCACCCGTGCAGTCAGAATCTCTGGCTGCTGTGACTTGTGATGTGAATTTCTCCGGCCGATACTTGTAATAAACTATCAGTGTTTGACATCAAAGCTCCAACTCTCCTCGTGTCTCTCCTTGAGTCCTGACTCTCCATTGCTGCAGAAGTTTCCCTTACAGAGATAATAACGTGTTGCTCATCCTCACAGCCTGCTCTTCAGGAACTGTTGAAAATACCAAATTTAAATAAAAAAGCCTGTAAAATGTACCGCAGGCACCATAACAGCAATATGGTAATTTCCATGATATTTGAATAGCAGCAGCAAAACATATAACTTTGGTTATCATTGGACGGATCTGTGGCTCTGATCAACAGGCTCTCTTTGTCACTGTTAGTTCCTGTTTCTCTGAAGCAGCTCTTTGTTCCAGCGAGCGTCTGATATTCAGAAAACCAACTGGATAGACTACTGAAACCCTGGCACTCTTAAAAAGGTGACAGCTTGCTCCATAAAGCCGGCCTTGTCAGACCCTTGGTCTAGCAGACTATTTGGATTCTGATCTGTCGTTTTCTATTAGACTTCCCTTCCATGCAATGAAATAACCAATAACCATCATGGTCAATTCAAACATCAGTTACATTTCATGGTAAACAGTGTTGCATGAAATGGAGTGATTGGATCTTTTTATTTTTTTACTGTGCAGCGCTAAAAGTAGACTAATTATAATCCTGCCACCCCCACCACACAGCCTGGAGCGTGTTTTGGACGACTAGCAGGTGGCTATCAACACACTTGCCTTGACCCCTGTCTCAAATCTGTTTGCACATTTCAGAGAGGGGAAGAATGTAAGCCAAAAATGAAGGAGTCTTGGGGAAAAAAACAGTTTGGAGAATGGACACAAGTCTGCTTGAGGTGTAAGTCAGAGTGCTGGGCAAGGAGGTGGCTGATTCAGAGTCTGGAAGGAGATTTGAGCAGATACAGTAAGTGAGTGTAGATAATTAAAAAAAGAATGCACAGGGTGACACTGAGAAGTCACATTCACATACAGCCTGTCACCCAGCGGCTGAGATGAGTGACAAGCATGAGCCGGAGTGTCAGAAGAGTTAAAGTTGTCAGCGTAGAGATGGTAAGAGAAACAGACTATCCTGCTCTCTCTACTGCTCTCTCACTTTCTCCCCTGCCAGCTCAATAGTTTCTCACTTGTTGGAAGTTTTCATAAAATGAAGTGAGAATTCTACATTGTGGGAATAAGTTCCTGAAAAACAAACCAGGAGCAGAGTTTTCCGCCATCGTAGCAGCCTATCAAAGGGGTTGCGTGTTTTGGGAGTTGGTGAAGTTTACTTTTACCATCAGGATTAGTAAGGTGCTTGCTGCTCTCTGGCCGCGGTTGTTGACCAGACAGTCTCTCTTTGTCCCGACTGATGTTTTTAGAGTGCTGAGTCAACAGTTTCTGCTGCGCTGCATCAGAACATACATACAGTGTGGAAAATGGAGACCTGCCAAACCTGCCCTGCTGAAGGTGGTACCCTGCAAAAAGTGTCCATCTGGCCAGATGTTTTTCCCCATATCAGTCAGAAACACTTATTATTAGCTTGAAAAAGCTAATGCCTGATCAGAATTACCCGGCAGCTACAGTTAAATTCTGCCGTGATTAAACGCCATCATGTTCCATACCACATCAAGGATTATTTCTGAAACAGTATGGAGCTCAAATGCTTTTTCTCTTGCGGGTTTACCACAAGGTGAGTTCCTTTTTTACATAATACTCTCTCCAGTACAGGTTAGGTCTGAGTGTTAGCGATGCTTCCTAATGTAAACAAAGACCATATTACGTCCAAAACACGTCGGGCATTGTTTCTGATAGCAATGTTTCTGATAGTGCCGTGGGTCCACATTTCCGATATGATGTAATTTACGACGCAAATCTGGATCAGCTGCGTTGTACCCCTGTTTTTAGAGTTTTGGGTACAGAGGAAAAGAGAGAGGGTTTTGTTTTCTGACACTTTGTGAGTCTCCTGACACACCGGGAGA